GAATTTCATTGTATGTGGGGAGGTCTTTAGCTATCAACTGGCTGGATAAATGTACAAGGCATTGTGGAGGCTTCCAACCATCAGCTGCCTACAACCCACTGGCCACTTCAACCCATCAGCCCCAACTTCAAATTGAAAATAATTACTTAATTTTAGATTGTGGGATATAAAAGTAAGTTAAAATGCAGGAGATGAAATAATATGTATAAATGCAATTTTTCCAAAATTGTATTTATTGATCCACAATTGCAGAAAGTTCCACTAATATGACTTATTGATTTCAAAGGCATTTAACCTGGAGTCAATTCCCTGTCTATTGTGAAGATTACAACCTCTGGTATTCTGCTAATTAGAATACTTGTATGTTGAGATACTCATTTCTAGCCATAGCCTCACTGCCTCTTCCCCTTAATTCCATTTGCACAAACTCCAGTCTTTTCCCATTAAATAGCCAAGATTATTGAATGACATATGAATTATGGAGCACCCAAAAGAAAGGCAAGAACAATAAGTTAGCCTGACATGGGAAGAAAACCCAAAGTTCACATTCTGATAACACTAAGATGCTAGTTTTCCTCTCTATCCAAGCAGCACACAATGTCTTTATTCAGTTCGCCAACATCACAGTATGCCATGGGAAAAACATTTCACCACTAATGGTAGCATACAATGCTGTCTGTAACGTCTTATAATTATGTAGCTTGCCAAAATGATATTTGGTTCAGTGGCCGTTGTTTATAACGGTTTCTGTTGAAAGAAGCTTGGAATTTGCAGAAAATTACAGCAAGCCAGAGCAATAAATCAGTTCATTCATTAAGATTCAGTAAAGATATGTGTTTGATTCCAGGACTTCAATTTACACAATAGCAGGGGGAAATCGGCCAATTCTTCCTCCTTCTATAACTTCCAAGCACACCAAAGGGAATGAGAAGTTTGGAAACTATCATTCTATAAATATTAATATGCTTTTCATGGAAATGTGGTTACACGAAGTTCAGCTTGGTTTCTTCTAACCTCCAAGTAAGGAATACCAGTATAAAATCTCTGTCATCCTTTGTATAGTTAGAGATTTCCAAAACATCACAAATCAATAACAAATATAACCAGGGTGTAAAATGCAAAAACACAAATCTAACACTATCTGGGCATCTGAACAAAAACTGCACCACCACATACGTATTTTGTTTCTGCATACCACAATTAAATTAATTGGGCTACTAATGAGTTCTCAAATAATTTGGGAGTAATGTATCAAAAGCAGCACTGAGAAAGAAGCAATAGAACTTTCAAATAAAGAATCGTAAAGAAAGACTACCATATAAGTTGCATTTTAAGAGTATAAAAAAATTGGAGGTAAACATTTCACATGTATCATACTGGATAATGGAGCATTTAGAGTGACATCACCAGGCAAGAACACAAGTTTTCTAGCAAAAATTTATAAGGAGTGGGAAGTTAAGTTATTTTAACAGGCACCACAACTATTTGGCAGTTCTTAAACTGAGGACAGGAGAACAGAGATTAAATATGAAAGTCTAATGAAAGGGGGGAAATGATGTTTCCATTTACATTTGAATCTTGACAACAGGAAATAACTGCAGTGAATGGAAAAAACTAGAAAATAAACTAAGGTGACCATCAACATTCAAGAATCTGACCATCACTATTTATCCACATGAAAAGCAATACCAATTTTTAAAAAGACAAGAAACTCACTTCTGAACTGTAAATAATCCATAATGAATGTCAGTGTGAATCACATTTGGATGATAGAAAATACAGGTCAATGAAAGGATGCTAAAATACACCATTAAAAATAAAATCTAGATTATACATATATTTTCAACTACTTTCCAAGTCTTACAGCAGTTCACAGCATCAGGTCTTATTATTATTCCACAATATTTTCCACTAAATCTAACATTCCTGATTCATACAGGAAAATGAACAATTGTGTTTGGTTGTTCCCTTTTTTCAAAAGAGAGGAAATATAAAGTAGCTGGGACTTAACAATTACTGGACAAATGTACTTAAAGAGCTAGCTAGGAACATATTCTTTATGCTATTAATTAAAGGTAATGCAGTTGCTTCAGATAAGCAATTTTAAGTCCACTGAGAGTCATATCATTGGAAAGTTCATTTCCATGCTTATCTCTGTGGATCAGGAACTGGGCTAAGAATTCAATTACATGCCTCCTGGCACTACTCTTCTGCCTATTGTGCATATACATTAGTTAGAAAACATGCATACAGTCCTATAAAGAAAGCTCAGTGTCACTTGTTTGTAATGTCACTTGTTTGAAATATGGGGGGAAATGCTGAACTTATACACAAAGAGTGTTGGGGAAGATAAAATTTCACATGGATTGCCATCACCTCTACATAAATTACCAATATTGAAGCATGGATCATTAACTCTGTACTGAGTATGTAATCCCATGGTGGATGTCAGCTGTCATTTTGAATCCTCTACAAATCCTAGAACAGTCCTTCAAGACTAAACATCAGCAGAATGAAAGTAACACTAGAAGGATATCTGTATCATTCTTATATTACTAAGGAGAACTAAATACAAAATACTGGATCTCATTAGACAACAACCAGCTGGCTAGCTGGTCTTTGGGACCCCACGTGCATGCAGGGGTTGTATGCACATGCACAGGGTGTATGCGTGCATGCATGGGGCATGTGTGTGTGGGGCTCAGCGCATGCACGGGGGCCATACACACTTTTGGCATTCATTCTGGAAAAGATTAGCCATCACTGCATATAGCTAGTCATGATTTTCATCTCCTTAGTCTTGCTATGTTTCTTTTGCTACTGTTGCTGGGAAGAGTAATAGTTTTAAGTATTAGTCATCAAAGCAGTAAGCACAAATCCATGTTTATGAAGTCATTTTAAAGCAAGATTCCAGGTCTGGTTTTCTGAAAGATTATATATTATAGTCAATGCAGATTCCAGTCCAATTAAACATTGAATTCAGCTACACTAATTAATTAATTCAGTTAAGCTTCCTTAAGACCCATGATACTACATTATAGGTAATCTGATTACTTAAACATCAAAGTGCAGAGTAATATTTTTAATGTGAGTACATCACTGTTCGCCATACTTTTACTAGCAAAAGAGTTTGGAGAGACTGTTAAAAACAGCATTATAATATTATTTAAACTGGGTCATAGCCAACATCAACAGCTTCTCCCAAGATTTATGTTGGATGCTTTACAACAAGAATGCATACCAAAAAATTTAAAATACAAATAACTAAATAATCCTAGGGCCTAAGTAGTTATCTTCTCATTCCCCAGAGACCTATTAATTTGAAAGTAACCTTGAGATCGTGACTGAAAAGCTCATTACATTCAGTGTATAATGCTTCCAGGTTAAAGAATGTCAAAAGCAATAATAAATGCCTTTTTTAAAAGGAAGGGAATAAAATTAAACAATCTTTATTTTTCATATCAAAGTAAGTATCATCTATGTGTGAACCTTCCAAGAGGTGCTTTGCGTCAATCATACCTTTCATAAAGCAATGTCTTGATAGGACTCTGCAAAGTGAAGTCCTTTCTGGCTTCCAGAGGAGTCAGCATAGTGCATGAAAGCAATTACTTTACTGGCCCTTCCTTGAGTTTCTGTATTTTGTCCTACAGAAGACCTCTGTCTCTTCATCACATCCTTTCTCCCAAAAGCAAATTCAATAGAGTCACTGGTTATCCTGACTTAGTACTTTCTTGGTTGCATTTATAGCTACCTTTTCCGAAGGAATTTATACAGAGGCTTTCCTCTTGATTTTATTTTTGAAACAACAATGCTGCAAAATAAATTGGGCTAAGGAAGAGAGACTGACCCAGTCACATAGCAAATTGTATAAGGGAATTCAAGTCTAGGGCCTCTTATTTTTTCAAGAGAAAAAAAAAGGGAATTTGTTTCAAAGAGATTCAAAACCTGTGTGCATTTTGGCTGTGAATAAACTAGCCTGCACCAACCTAGAAATTGTAGCCTTGTCTTGCTTTCAATCTTCTTTGTACCCAGTTTGTACCATTTTTGCCTCACTAGATGGTTTGGTGTATGGGAAGTATCCTAATTATGACAAACTGCAATTACACTGACTTACTATCTAGAGGATTAATTCATGGAAGGTATCTCTGACATGCAGCAGTTATCATAACATATCTATTATTAAGGAGCAGGGCTGCACAGAATGGCAATGTTCTGACCTAGGTTTCCTGATACAGTGAAACGCACACGATTAAGTCCAAAAACCCTCTTTTTATTTCAAAGGCTGTGAATTATATTCATTCACAGCCTGTAATGAGTTCCAAATAGTAGTAAAGAGTTCTACAGCAGGCTGCCAAAGTCCTTTGGGATAAGGCTGATAAGCACCCACCTTTATCTTCTTTGACAATGCTGCCATTAAAGACTTAATTGGCAATTAGCTTGGCAAGGCAACATGGAGCAAAGAATCCAAACATATTTTCAGAAGATAAACTGACCAGCATGAACCAAGTTGCTTCCTCGTGTGCCTTTGCTCCTCTTTTATGTCCTATGGGAGGGGCCAATCACCTCCAAGCCTTACTCCCAAGTCGTCCCTTCTGTTTTAACAATTCTTGCTTTCTTGCAGCTCTGCAAATGCTTTTACTGGGAACAGGAGAAGCCTGTTCCTCTGCCTCACTGCTGTCCGACTCTGAAGATTCCACAGGCATCACATAACTCCCAGATGGCCCTGACGCCCTCTCTGCCTTTGACGTGGAGCCTGTCCGACTCTGCTGCGAGTTCCGCAGGTCGTCGTCGGACCACAAAGGGAAAATGTATGACTTGCATTCACAGAATAGGCATATCAATGATAATACAAATACAAGCACAGCAAGTACCTTAATCCAAAACTTTCTAGCTATCCTAAACCTGTTCATAGATAGATGAGAAACATGAACTTCTTTGTGAAATTATTGAATTAACCGGATGCCCAATAGTGTTTAAAATTCCAGTATTCTTTAACCTACTATGCTCCAAATGTTGCCGGTCACACTGTTGGGGATGAGGTTGAGGTCAGATGAAGAGCATTCAGCTGAGAAAGAGTGAAATAGATAATATGGTTTCAGTGGGAGAAGAGCCAGCAGAGTTTTCCCACAGTCCTGTTGGACTATAGTGGCATAGAAGCCCCAGTAAAAAAATAACATAAATGACAAATGTCAAGCAGCCAAAACATAATGCATTGATAATTTGCAAATGATACTAAGTTACCAGAATCTAATAAAAAAAGCATGCTATTTCTTGTCTCAATGCTTTTCCATTCTATTCATTTATCTGTAAACTTCCCAGAGTCACTTAGGTAAATAAAATATCCACTCAATCAGTTATAATTCACTAGGCACAGAATAATTGAGTGATAAGAAAATAAGCTTATTTGTGAAGGATCTGAAAGTAGCTCACCTAATTTAGGAACTGGGTATCATAGTACAATTCATAATGTATACAGTGTCACCTGAGCTTTTGCAGATATTTGGATTTCAATTCTTATTAATTCCCATGCAATATGATAACAGGAAGTTGTCCAAAACTTCTGAAGGCATCAAGTTCAGAAGGGCTGCCCAATGAAATATATTTCATTTCTACTGACATCTGAAATATATCCATGACTAGAATATAGACGTGTATTCTAGTCCACTGCATGCAATTACAGGAATCCTTCCATTTTGTAACTTCCACCATTGTTCTGCTCAGTTTTCAAATCCACAAATATAATGTATTAAATGCCTAGTGCAAATATCAAGACATGATGTCTTTCACTAAACTGAAAGCTGTTGCACTTTTAATAGGCTACACCATTGCTTCCTCAGGGTAGAATGGTTTCTTTTAAAGGAAAGATTTGGCTTCTGGTCAACCCCTTCAAGGTCAAGCTAAAAGGTTTCAATACCAGAAGCAGAATATAACCCAGTTCAGCTTTTGCCTAATAATTTACAAAGCAGGGGACAATCCACCAGAAAATTCCATAAAACATTTGATTTATATTTGAGGTGTCCTGGCCCTGAACATCAAAAGCTTCATTCTGTCAGAAGAATAATTTGGGGTTCCAACAACAGCTGGGCCTGCGCAAGAATAAATAAAAATGAGATCCAGACAGCTGTGAGGAAAGAAGAAATATTTATTCCTAAAAGCAAAACAGTTTGCCTTTAGGGGCAGGCTGCAGAGAAATGGGGCACAGCAGCAGAGTTTTAGAGGGGGAGCTTGTCCAGGGTGAAGTGTCTATGTGAGGGGCATGGGGGTGTAGGTAGGTTTACTCTTGTGAACATGCATTTCCTGTGGAAAACCTAATGTAACTGTGTTTGCAGACCTTATCCTTTGATATGCAGATTGGATCTGGGTAACTTGTTTGGGGTTTGAGGAAGTTTGCTGATTTTAGTTGATTAACTTAGTTTCAAGCTTGACTGCCAATTATCCAGCAAAGACACTTGATTCTCTGAGCATTGTGGATTCTGTTAATATTTCAAGGGACGATGGAAACAGTGCAATGAAAAAAAATATTTGGATATAAAACTTCTCACAAATAGTACGTCCCTTTGCTTTCTCCTGCCTGCCAAAAGCACTCAAGTTCCACACACCCACCTGGCCCCCAACCCTCCACCCTTTACCTTGATTCTCTGTTAACACAGCCAGTTCTGCTCAGCCCCACTACCTGGGTCAATTCTGCCCTTCCCACAACACATTTTCCAACAAAGTCCTGCTCCGCTTCCCTTCCCTTCCCAGGGGCGACAGTCGACCTTTCACTATGACACCAGGCAGACCCAGGTCTGGTTTCTCACACCCAAGCCAACCACCCTCACCTTCTCCTTTGTGCCCAGCCCCACCTGACTGAAGGGGGGGGGGACAGTCGGGATGGTCATAAGTGTGTTTCTCTGCCTGGAGAGTGATAAGGTGTAAAGCAGGGCTCACCAATCTTTTAGACCCCAGTGACTATTAAATTCATCATTTTAAATCCCGCGGACCACTCATATGATTTTTAAAAAAAATGTTAAGTCCTATTTAGTGCAATATAAAAAAATGCAAATAATTTTTCTGCGGACCACCAATATTTTCTAGCGGTGGTGACCGCTGGTGTAAAGGACTTGGAGGGAGGAGGGAAGGGGGGGCTCGGATGATGCCGCCCCCTCCTCCTCCACCGCCCACAGACAGTCTACCCTGCAAAGAGCAAAGGGGCGGGGAGAGGGAAGTCGGGGGAGCCGGGAGCGAAGGCCCTCCGCGCGAACAAGTTCTGCATCCCGAAGAAACAAAAGACACCAACTTCGCAAAGAACTCTTTGCCTATCAAGCCCGGGGCGGGGCGGGGATGTTCTGGAGAGGGGGGGGGGAGAGACCAACGCAAACACCTTAGCCTGCTTAAAGCGGATTTCCAGGGCAAGAGATTTCTCTCCCTCCTCCCGCCCTTCACTACAAACACACGCCGCTGAAGTGTCGCCGTCCGCTTCTCCCCGCCAACCAGCCCCCTCCAGGCGCGCCCCCGGAGCTCCCCCCCCATCTCCCCGCAAAGCCAGCCAGCCAGCCGACGGGCGCGCGCGCCCCCCAGCCGCTTCTTCCCATTGTTTCCAAGTCCTCTGCGCCCCCCTCACCGTTCGCGGCGCTCCTCGGGCTATTTTATTCTTCCTTTTCCTTTGCTCGTTGTGGCGGCGCAAACAAGTCGGGGTGGCGGTCTCTGGAGGGTCCGAGCCATTAAAGGGTCCTCGAGAAGACTGAGGAGGAGGAAGAGGGGGCGGGTGCGACGGCGGCAGCAGCAGGAGGGGAACGAGGTTGACACCGAGGGGGCGGCGGGCCCGAGGTCGCCATGGCTTGAGGGGCGCGCGAGAAAAGCGAAAAAGGCGGCCCCGGCCAAAAGGGCGGGAGCGGGAGATGTCCAGCCGAGGCAAGAGCGGGGAAGCGGCGCAGCAGCTCCGGGTGGCTGTGGCTGCCGTCGCCTCCCGCTCCTTCTCCTCCCACTAGCGCTCCGGCCCCCGCCTAAAGGGGAGGCGGGGAGGGGAACCGCGGCGGTGTAGAGCCCCCTCCAGCGTCCGTGAGCGCGTCCTGCCCCCGCCACACGGCTCCGGCCCCTGCCTCCTCCTCCTCCTCCCAGAAGCACAGTGCCGCCTCAGCCTCGAAGGGCCGGGTCTTTTCCCGTGGAAACCTCCTCTTCCTCCCGGAGGACCAAGCTGAGGGGCAGCCCGCGGAGGGAAAGGAAGGGACGGGGCCGGACGGACGGGCCGTAGCTGCTCCGGAGGTCCTTGAAACGGCCACGGTGTTTAGGTGTGCGCCTTTCGTGCGCAAAGAGGCGTGGCGGCGGCCACAAGTGTGCCAAGCTCTACAGAGGGGGCAGCGCGGGATGGAATCCGGTACAAAGAGGGAACAAAGGGAAACGGATCGGGACGGTCAGCGCGGGCGGCTCCGGCTCCCGCAGCCTGGCTGAGGACGCTACCATCCCCGGCAGAAACTCCTCACCTCTGCTGGAGGAAACCAGATCCAATTTTACTTCTATCGCTGTTGAAAAGCGGAGGTCGTTTACGTTGTGACACTCCCAGAATGTTACCAGGGGTCCAGAGTAGCGTAGCTTTCCCTAGGTGACGTTTGCCGCTATTTTTTTTTTTTTTTTTAGTTTCTACACCGACAGATCCTAGATTTATCAATCCCTGGGGGGGGGGGGCGTGTTTGTGTGTGTGTGTGTGTAGCTTGCCAAGATTTCCCTCCCGAACAATGATCTGTGATAAGAGAAAATTGCACTGGGTAGGAAATGGGAGGTGACTGAAAAGCAGCAATGTCTGGTTTGAGAATGAGGCAGATTGATTCCCCCATACAAGCTTTATTGGCAAGCATGCATACTGAAGAATACTTTCAGCTATTTTATTTATTTATTTAAAGGATACATAGATGTAACTTCATAGCAGTACTGTGGTTACATTGTTTTTAGATTGTGCCAGGAGCTGTCCAGAATCCCATGTTCTTAGAATGGCAGTTCTAGCTAGCACTCACCAAAAGGTGTGGTGAAATTGTTTTGTTTTGTTCTCCTTAACAATGTCTGTCTGCAAAGAAGAATGGAAGAACGTTGAAGAAAACAAAGTTTGCAAATAAAAAAAAATATGATTCCTGAACCCATTGTGAAATTCCATAATTAAAGTACAATTGAAGCACATTTTCTTCAACTGAATTGGAAGCACCTTTGTATATTTCTCTAATGATTGGCTATTTAACATACGTGTTTGCAAATGGTTATTAATTTTCCCTTCAATTAATAATAGCATCTCACCTTTGAGGATCAGTCTATTGCAATATAAATCATGCTTCATGATGAGGATGTGTAGCTTTGCTTGGCAAAATAAAAGATCACTTTAGGCTGCAATTGAATGCCAATTTACCTAGAACTGTGATGGCGAACCTATGGCACACATGCTGGAAGTGGCACACAGAGCCATCTCTCCAGGCATGTGAGCCATTGACCGTTGCTCTGCTGGGTTCTGGCGCGTCAGCCAGCTGGTCTTCATGCGCATGGGAGTGACGGTAACCAGAAGAGCAGCCGCCCAGTGCGCATGCACACGCCGGGAAGATGATCTTCTGGTTTCTGGCACACGCATGTTTACCGACCACCTGGTCTTCTGATTTCTGGTGCACATACGTGCACAAAGCCCAGCTGACTGACATGCATGTGTGCGCTAGAAACTGGGAGATTATCTTCCCGGCACACGCATGCGCACTGGGTGGCTGTTCTTTTGGTTTCTGGATGTGATGGTTGCTCGCTCCTGTTTCAGCATTCAATGCCAAGAAGGTTCGCCAACACTGAAGAAACATGCTACATCTGATTCCAATGAGACACAAAATTACATTAGCTAACAGAAATAGCCTTACCAAGGCAGTCATTATGTGGCTTTCATAGAATTAAAGATGACCTTTGATTCTATAGCGAGACTCCAAAGAAAATCAGTTATAACATTGATTATAACCTTCTTAAATTAAATTAATATGACTATATTCAGAAATACCATGCAAGTTAACATAAATTGTAAATGAGAACTAACTAAAACTATCCCTAAGCTAAAAGTATAAAAGGAGGTTAATTCTAACCCCATTATTGTTAAATGATGTTAAAAGATATTAATGATCTGGTTGAAACCTTTGTAAACTAGAATTTCCCGCTGCACTATTTCCTATACTTCTCTATGTTGATGATACCTCCATACTTTCCATAACCCAGGTGGGACTGCTTGGATACCTTGAAGTATTCTCCTTATTGCCATAGGGAATGGCTTGAGGTCAATAACCCTAAACAAAGGTCTTAATGTTTTCCAGAAAGTGCTTCAAGTCACTGATCAGCTGGGAGATTAATGACAGACCTATTGAGAAAGTGGTGACCTTTAAGTATGCAGGCATTCACTTTCAATCAACTACTCACTGGATCAATCAAGCAACCTTCATGTAAAAGCCCCCAAAGCATCTTTTGCTATCATTAAATATGCATATCAACATGGTAACAGCTATGTACCAGGAGCTGTCAAATGATTTAAGACTAAAGTGCTGGGTTCAATGCTATATGGTACTTAGTTATTTATAACTATTGCAATATATGTGCATTCTTTGTAGTTGTAATTTTTGAAAATAGTCTTGTATTTAAAAAGAGCTATAAAAATAGGATTCCGAATACCAGTCTGTGATATGAACAGGAGATTAATAAATGGGGAGAAAGCTTGCTTTAGAAAGATCTAAAATGAGTTTTCTTGAAGAATACAGAAGGCTCAATCTGTTGAATCAGTGCAACGTAAGAAGTAGTTATGGAAAAGCAATTGGGCCTTGGAGATCATTGCATTTTAAGAGAGATATTCATAAAACCATGAAAGGACAATTAACACCTCTCTCCAGTGGTAACTAAAGTGTCTTGCCCTCATTGGAATTAAAACTGTTGAACCACAATAGAACTTTAAAAATGTGACTTCATGGCATCTCAATTATTTTATTGGCTTTTCTCATTTTCAAAACTATGCAGTTCTATTGTTGCCTTAGATCACGGGTGTCAAACTTGCCGTGTCACTCTTAATTGATAATGATAATAATGTATACAATGTGTAGTGTTATGATAAGTAATAATTGGATATGAATATTGAATGGTACACATGAAAGTAAGATTAGAAATCCTTTTGGAGTATATACAAAAGTTAATAAAAAAGAACTAAGTTAGATACAGTTGTTTTGATTAGGGGGAAAATAAGGACATAGACATATATATATATATATATATATATATATATATATATATATATATATATG